CAAGCACCCCATGCTCTCTGTCTGCCTCTCCGTAAAATACACAACTGTTTTGCCTGTCGTAAAAACCTTTTGAAACCCAGCTTTCTCATCGAGGCAGCGGCACAGGAAAAGCCAAAACGTTTGTCCTTTATTTCTGCTAACACGTCGCAAATTTAACGTATTGAACGACTACGTTAAAAAAGCAACGAATTAAGATGACAGGTTACAGAAACTGTAATATGATCTGTTGCAGCCTACAGTCTACAGGAGCCTCAGCTGTAAAAAGTTTAGGCTGTATTGATAATACTGAATCTTACAATTTTAATACATATTGTGAGGTTTAATGAACAAATCCTCAAGGGCCGTGACGAGGATTCGAACCTGCGTCCGGGAGCATCCCAGACACTGCCTTAATGTAGTGTATTGTGAGGTTTATTTTTATACAAAACTATTAATTGTATTTTCGGTTATACAGCTGCTCAGTCTATCAGTGTATAAATAACTCTAAATACAACTCCAAATACAGATTCTAATTCTGATTGCGAATACGACCCCGGAGCCGAACAATTTATTTAATTAAGAAATACATCAAATCTGAATTAATTTAGACCATTTGTAAATTATCTTTTCCGGGTGGATTGGGATAGATAACTACCATCTATTATCGTACTTGGACTGGTTGGTTGGTGGATGACTGATTGGTGGGGTGGATGTTTGGCTGATTGGTTGCTTGGTGGTTGACTGGGGAGTTAATGGGACGGGGAATGGATGGCAGTAGAGACGGGATGGGGGTCAGAGTGGAAAGGGAGAGACAGACTGACGCTTTAAATAAAAAATGACGGAACAGAAAGGCCCCCAAAAATATATATAGACCTAGAATCCCTATCCCTCTCTCCCTCTCCCTTCCACCCTGTGTTTCTCCCTCCCTTGTTGCTTCTTACTCTCCCTTCCCTCTCACCCTGTCTCTCACCTCTCAAACCCCTCCCTCCTCACCCTGCAGACAGCTGTAGACAATATCACCTCTGAGGGTGAAGGTTCTCACTCTCCCACCTAAATTAATACAGTAAGACACACACATATTGTATTAATACAGTAAGACACACACATTGTATTAATACAGTAAGACACACATATTGTATTAATACAGCAAGACACACACATTGTATTAATACAGCAAGACACACACATTGTATTAATACAGCAAGACACACACATTGTATTAATACAGTAAGACACACACATTGTATTAATACAGTAAGACACACACATTGTATTAATACAGCAAGACACATATTGTATTAATACAGTAAGACACACACACATTGTATTAATACAGCAAGACACACACATTGTATTAATACAGCAAGACACACATATTGTATAAATACAGTAAGACGCACACATACAGACAATATTAATACAGTGATACATACACACTGTATTAATACAGTAATACACACACAATCACATAATATAAATATGAACTAATCCTAATAATAATCCTATTAATAATATTAATTTTATTAATAATAACTATAATTATATTCATAATAATAAAATAATAATAATAATAATGAAAATAATTTGAAATTATCTGTGTGAATCTTGACTGAGAGAAGAGAGGGAATGAATGATAAAGTAGAGAGAAGAAAATAAAGAGAGAATGGAAGAAAAGAAAGAATAAAAAGAGAGGGGAAAAAGGGAGACAGAGAATAATGGGATGGAGAGAATGGGAAGGAAAGTAACTTTAGATAATATTTACCTGTATGTCTATATGTTTATATATCAGCTTATATGTATATCTGTCTCCCAGCTTCTATATCTCTGTTTATCAGGTGGTCTATCTTTCAGCGTTTGTTTTTATCAGCTTATTTCTTTGTCTGTCTATCTATCTGTGTCTGTCTATCTCTCCCTGTCAGCTAATCTGTGTGTGTGCCTTTCAGTTTTTTTTTGTCAGTTTTAAAGCCTGCCTGTCTATCTGTGTGTCTGTCAGTTCATCTATCATAAAGCTTTGATCAATCCGTCTGTGTCGGGAACTCACTATGCGTTGCGTCCCTTATCAGTTCCTCGGTTGTTTGCCTCTAAAATTGTCTTGTCTTGCTGCGTTCTCCATTCTCTTCCTTCCTCTTATTCTTCTGTGTTTTTTGTTTGTGTCTGTTTTTCTAGGTTCTTTTCTTGTGTCCTGCTTCATTCATTTAGCTTGCTTATGTTTATACGGTTTTGTTATCTTGCTTTCTCTCTTCTTTCCCCATTCATATATTGTATTCACTTTCTTCCTATGTTACTCCTCTTTCTCATCCACTTGTAGCCCTCTTCCTTGTCTTCTTTCTTATCTTGTTATTCTATTTGTTTTGTCTCATTTTCTTTCATGTTGTCTTGAAACTCTCTCATTTATTTTCTCATCAACTTTTTCTATTTTTCTTAAGTTATTTCACTTCTCCTTTCATCAACATTTATCTGTTACTCCTGATTATTTTTTCTCCTCCCTTCTCCATCTTCTAATCCCTCCCCCTCCCTTTCTTCCACCTTTTCTTCGTTCTCTTTGTCCGAATAATTCAGTTATTGTTTTGTTTCTCGCCAATTCACAAGTTTTCAAAAGCAAATTGAAAAATGATTTAATCATTTTCCAAACAAATTCAACAAATAAATTCCATTGGAGATACAGAAAATCCGACGGTGTAGCCATCGTCTATGTGGAGAACCTCCCGGATTTTGGAAGGATTATTCGATTACTTTTCAAGAGGGTTTTTGCACTAAGTCGGATATGTAAACAAATTCTCTCTCTCGCGTTAATTCATCTTAAGAGGAAACTCTGAGAATACATCTTTCTGTCCTTGTGTTTTGATCCCCTTGAGAATATATTTGTGAAAGTCTCTGTTGAATATTTCCAAAATTAAAGGCTATTATTCGAGACGTGATTGGACGCCATGATTGAAACAGTTGGAAGAACATGAATGGAACAGATTAGGAAAAAAACACATTTCTTGGAAATGTTATCCACTTGTTACTTGTTAGTTAGTAAGGATTAAAAGATGATTATAAATCCTCAGTCATCTGGCTCTTCCTGTAGGCTCTGGAGGCATCCGGCCGCTCTATATATATAAACACCCTGTTGAATTAAACCAGAGATGGGTATCTTATCCGAATATCCAAGCCAGACCTGCTACGTCAGTTCCAAATGTCCTTCTACGTCAGTATTCAATCGACGTCTCTTGATGTAATCACAAATATATTTTACTTAGCAGCCAGCGTGATTGTTCACTTTACACGCCCTCGGGGTCGTATCCTACGGGGTCGTATCCTACGGGGTCGTATCCTACGTGGTCGTATCCTTCGGGGTCGTATCCTTCGGGGTCGTATCCTTCGGGGTCGTATCCTACGGGGTCGTATCCTTTGGGGTCGTATCCTACGGGGTCGTATCCTACGGGGTCGTATCCTTTGGGGTCGTATCCTACGGAGTCGTATCCTTCGGGGTCGTATCCTACGGGGTCGTATCCTACGGGGTCGTATCCTACGGGGTCGTATCCTACGGGGTCGTATCCTTCGGGGTCGTATCCTTTGGGGTCGTATCCTACGGGGTCGTATCCTTCGGGGTCGTATCCTTCGGGGTCGTATCCTACGGGGTCGTATCCTACGGGGTCGTATCCATCGGGGTCGTATCCTACGGGGTCGTATCCTTTGGGGTCGTATCCTTCGGGGTCGTATCCTTCGGGGTCGTATCCTACGGGGTCGTATCCTACGGGGTCGTATCCTTCGGGGTCGTGCATGACCACTTGGTACATGCTGAGCACGTGATTACCTATGGCATGGGTTCCTAACCTCTGTCCAATAACAGATCCAGAATATCACAATCATCATTTCTATCATCACAATCATCATTTCCATCATCACAATCATCATTTCCATCATCACAATCATCATTTCCATCATCACAATCATCATTTCCATCATCACAATCATCATCACCATCATCACAATCATCATTTCCATCATCACAATCATCATCACCATCATCACAATCATCATTTCCATCATCACAATCATCATCACCATCATCACAATCATCATTTCCATCATCACAATCATCATTTCCATCATCACAATCATCATTTCCATCATCACAATCATCATTTCCATCATCACAATCATCATTTCCATCATCACAATCATCATTTCCATCATCACAATCATCATTTCCATCATCACAATCATCATCACCATCATCACAATCATCATTTCCATCATCACAATCATCATATCCATCATCACAATCATCATCACCATCATCACAATCATCATTTCCATCATCACAATCATCATTTCCATCATCACAATCATCATCACCATCATCACAATCATCATTTCCATCATCACAATCATCATTTCCATCATCACAATCATCATCACCATCATCACAATCATCATTTCCATCATCACAATCATCATTTCCATCATCACAATCATCATTTCCATCATCACAATCATCATCACCATCATCACAATCATCATTTCCATCATCACAATCATCATCACCATCATCACCATCATCACAATCATCATCACCATCATCACAATCATCATCTCCATCATCACAATCACACATCAGTATGATGTCAATAGCTTAGCTTTACTCTACAAATAGATATCTAGGACAAAAAAAAATAGCAACCAGAAAATTATATTGATTTTATAATTTATAATTATAGAATAACAACAAGAAACACATACACGAACAAGCTGAAACTTGTGAGAGATTTATGTTGTCTGAAACATGGAATCTTCTGACGACCAAACCACACGTCAGAAATTAATATGAGACGTCATTTCGGACCATCTTGGAGCTATTATCAATAGAAAAGATAGGAAATGAGATTAATAAATAAGGTGAGAGAGCGAGATGAAATTTGAGGAGCGAGTAAGATAAAGAAGGTAAGAATAAGAAAAAAAGGGTTAAAATAAGAGGAAAGGGCAAAGCTTTAGTCAGATCACGTTTGTTAAGAAGGTTGGGGCATCTGAGTATGTACTGTGCAAGGGAAGAGTCAACAGCAACAGAGCCAGCACTCAGGTTCATGTTGGGAAGGTTGACCAGACCACACACACTGGAAAGTGAAGGGACGACGACGTTTCGGTCCGTCCTGGACCATTCTCAAGTCGATTCTCAAGTCGATTGGGAAGGTTGTGTATCAGAGCCGAGTCGACAAGACGGCGACTCAGCCATCAACAGTGTGAACAACACTACTACTGCGAGGAGTGATAGTTTGTCAACACGCGAGCTTTACTTAAGATAATTTGCAACCTGATTTATGGAAACAAATAATGTTGCTTCTCATTCCCACAGCACGCCTCTCATCCGTACTGCTGCTCTCGAAGACTCTTTAGCAATACTGTGCAATGTGACAGCAAAGCGAAAGGAGAAACCACTAAGCCATTACGACTATATAGCACTTGGGAAGGATAGAGATAAGGATTTGCGATGGGACAGGGGAAGGAACGGTGCACAAAACACTTGAAAGGTCGGGAATTGAACGCAGACCCGCATGAAGCGAGACCGTCGCGCCACTGATGAGTCCAAGTTGCTGGGCTGCACAATGTTACATGCGAAGCAACGGGCCATGACCTTACGGCAAGTGCGTCGGCAAGTGCGTCGGGAGATCTTGACACCTCAGAGGACTTGAACGAGTATTTGGGGTTATCTTGGGGTTATCTTGAGATAATTTCGGGGCTTTAGTGTCCCCGCGGCCCGGTCCTCGACCAGGCCTCCACCCCCAGGAAGCACCCCGTGACAGCTGACTAACACCCAGGTCCCTATTTTACTGCTAGGTAACAGGGGCATAGGGTGAAAGAAACTCTGTCCATTGTTTCTCGCCGGCGCCCGGGATCGATCCCGGGACCACAGGATCACAAGTGTGCTGTCCGCTCAGCCGACCGGCACCCTGGGTACCCAGACTGATGTAAACAATGGGTTATAAGAACCTACTGACATATCGTGCCCACTGAAACTGCCCTATGAACCCACTTAGCATACCCAGGGTTATATATAGTATGGTAGACCACCCTGAGGGCTGAGTTAGATAACCAACTTCAGCACCTTTTATATTTATTTATGCATTGCTCTATTTCGCGTACATTTCCATTCTTGCTTTTGGGGTGCGTGGACCAGGGTCTGGTAAAGGGATACACGGACCCGCCCTGAGCCTGGTCTGAGGGTGCACGGGTCCGTGATGAACTTGGTCTTTGAGGCACTGGAGCCGACCCCAACTGACCTATGATAGTCCCATACCCCACATGCTTCATTGTGAAAGTTGGGAGAGGCCAGGCGTAAGTGTCTGGATTACAACCTTGGACAGACAGATAGGGGAAGGAGTGGAGAGGGGGAAGGGGAAGAGAGGGGGGGAGGGGAATAGGGGGAAGGGGGAGGGGAGGGAAGGAGGAGAGGGGGGCAGGGGGAGAGGAGGGAAGGAGGAGAGGGGGGCAGGGGGAGAGGAGGTAAGTGGGAGAGTGGGGAAGGGGGAGAGGAGGTAAGGGGAGAGTGGGGAAGGGGGAGAGTAGGTAAGGGGAGAGTGGGGCAGGGGGAGAGGAAGTAAGGGGAGAATGGGGCAGGGGGAGAGGAAGTAAGGGGAGAATGGGGCAGGGGGAGAGGAAGTAAGGGGAGAGTGGGGCAGGGGGAGAGGAAGTAAGGGGGAGTGTGGAAGAGGGAGAGGAGGAATATGGGAGAAAGAGAGGTAAAGTGACCCGGCCGCAGTTGAGTGCCTGTTCCATATATATTAATGAATATGTCTGTTCCAGGATGTAGGACAGACGGGGAAGAGACGGGGATGGAGGGAAGGGAAGGGAATTATCAGGGGAGAGCACCAAGCCATTACGACTATATAACACCTGTGAAGGGGTCAGGATAAGGGTTTGGGATGGGACGGAGGGAAAGGAATGGTGCCCAACCACTTGTGGACGGTCCGGGATTGAACGCCGACCTGCATGAAGCGAAACAGTCGCTCTACCGTCCGCCCCAACTGGTTGGACAGGGAAAGAGGGAGAAAAGGTTAGAAAAAAGGAAGATGGGACAGATGGGAAGGAAGAGAGGGGGGGGGGTGAGAGGTGGAGGGGGGTACGGATGGAAGAGTGAGAAATGGGGGGAGGGAAGATGGGAATAGAGGAAAGTGGAGAGAAGAGGGAAAGAAGAGGGGGGTGGAAAGGGAGGGATGTTTGATGGGAGAGACATCCTACCCCGAGCACCGCCGGGTATCTATAGGAGAGGATGTCTATCTTTTTTTGTCTGTTTATCTATCCATGGCTGGTGGCCAGCCACGTGGGACTAGCCTCGCCCAAGTTTCACAGATGACGCGTGTGGGGGATGGGAGTGTCATAGGCCAGTTGGGGTCGGTCCCGGTGTCACATCTGAAGATATATCGGCCACTAACCTCCCCCTCCCCCCACCATATCAAGAATTCATATCTGATATATTGGTTGTGTGTTCCATAGAGTTAAATAAAATTTTGTTCTTTAAACCAGAGAATAAAGGCATATATGCCTTTTTTCTACCGTTTATGGCTATCGTTACCTGTGGTAGGTGGCTACCGTTACCTGTGGCAGGTGGCTACCATTACCCGTGGCAGGTGGCTACCGTTACCTGTAACAGGTGGCTACCGTTACCTGTGGCAGGTGGCTACCGTTACCTGTAACAGGTGGCTACCGTTACCCGTGGCAGGTGGCTACCGTTACCCGTGGCAGGTGGCTACCGTTACCCGTAACAGGTGGCTACCGTTACCGTGGCAGGTGGCTACCGTTACCTGTAACAGGTGGCTACCGTTACCTGTAACAGGTGGCTACCGTTACCCGTGGCAGGTGGCTACCGTTACCTGTAACAGGTGGCTACCGTTACCCGTGGCAGGTGGCTACCGTTACCTGTGACAGGTGGCTACCGTTACCTGTGGCAGGTGGCTACCGTTACCTGTGGCAGGTGGCTACCGTTACCTGTGGCAGGTGGCTACCATTACCTGTGGCAGGTGGCTACCGTTACCTGTGGCAGTTGGCTACCGTTACCTGTAACAGGTGGCTACCATTACCTGTGGCAGGTGGCTACCGTTACCTGTGGCAGGTGGCTACCGTTACCTGTGGCAGGTGGCTACCATTACCTGTGGCAGGTGGCTACCATTACCTGTGGCAGGTAGCTACCATTACCTGTAGCAGGTGGCTACCATTACCTGTGGCAGGTGGCTACCATTATCTGTGGCAGGTGGCTATCATTACCTGTGGCAGGTGGCTACCGTTACCTGTAACAGGTGGCTACCGTTACCTGTGGCAGGTGGCTACCATTACCTGTGGCAGGTGGCTACCATTACCTGTGGCAGGTGGCTACCGTTACCTGTGGCAGGTGGCTACCATTACCTGTGGCAGGTGGCTACCGTTACCTGTGGCAGGTGGCTACCATTACCTGTGGCAGGTGGCTGTCCTGAGCACGTCAGATGGAAACTCTGTGAGCAGGAACTAGGTCAAGACCTCCTGTACTACATTATTGAATGGTCTGTTATTACGCTCTTCAGATCTGCCCGAATGAAGTACCTGGAGCTTTGCAATCATTTATTACCTCTCGTGTTCATGATGATATCCTGATACTCATGTTCATGATGATATCCTCATATTGCATGCAACGCTAACCAGTGCTGACTACTGGTCACGTGACCCTGTATGTCTGACCATCCTGCGACCGGTATCTATCAGGAGAAAGCGCCAAGTCATTACGACTATATAACACTGGGAAGGGGTCAGGATAAGGGTTTGGGATGGG